GGAACTTCTGGAATTTCTGAGGAATAATCAAGACGTGTTTGCGTGGACTACGAACGAAATGCCCGGCATTCCGACGGAGTTGACAGTCCACAAGCTCAGCACGGACCCCACCAAAGGGCTAGTGGTTCAAAAACGTCACCTTTTTGGCCCCGAGAAGTAAGCTGCCATTGACGGAGAGATACAAAAGTTGTTACAAGCAGGCTTCGTCAGAAGAGTGGAGTACTCTGAATGGGTGTCCAACCCTGTGCTCATCAAAAAGCCAAATGACAAGTGGAGGATGTGTATTGATTTCACCAACCTCAATGGTGCGTGTCCAAAAGACCCTCATCCCTTGCCAAATGTCGAGAAGTTAGTAGAACGGGCAGCAGGACATGAACGGATGAGTTTTCTTGACGCCAGCTCGGGTTACCACCAGGTCCAGCTGTTGCTAGATGACCAGGAAAAAACAGCTTTTTACGCTGGTGACGCAATCTACTGCTATGTCATGATGCCGTTCGGCCTCAAAAATGCTGGAGCAACATACCAGAAGCTGGTGCAAATCATCTTTAAGCTCCAGATTGGCAAAAACATAGAAGTGTATGTAGATGACATGATAGTCACCAGCGTGCGAGCTGAGGATCACATTGACGACCTGGATGAAACTTTTCAAAACTTGCGTCAAGCCCAAATGAAGCTGAATCCCTTGAAATGCACGTTTGCTGTGGAATCAGGGAAATTCCTAGGGTACGTGGTATCCAAGAAAGGAATCGAAGTAAATCCAGAGAAGGTAAAGGCCGTTTAGCAGATGGAACCTCCCAAGATAGTAAAAGATGTACAGCGTCTGATAGGTCGGGTGGCTGCGTTGCACAGGTTTATAGCCAGATCGGCAGAAAGGTGCCTTCCGTTCTTCAAAGCTCTGCGGGAGCCCAAAAACTTTCAGTGGACTAATGAGTGTCAACAGGCGTTTGACGAGCTCAAATAATATTTGGCATCCGCACCCCTGCTGTCCAAGCCTGTTGATGGGAAATGTTTATATCTTTATCTGGGGGTCACAAAAGAAGCAGTGAGTTCAGTGCTACTGAGGGAAGAGAATAAGAATCAGAAGCCTATCTGCTACGTGAGCAAGGTGTTACAAGGTGCCGAGCAGAACTACCCGCTAGTAGAAAAGGCTGCTTTTGCTTTGGTCTGCACAGCTCATAAGCTGAGAGCTTATTTTTAGTCCCATCAGATTGTTGTTTATATTGATTTCCCGCTAAGGAAAATATTGCAGAAGCCAGAACTCTCTGGTCGGCTCATCGGATGGAGTGTTGAGCTGAGTGAGTATGACCTCAAATTTCAGCCGTGCACGACTATAAAGGGCCAAGCTGTGGCAGACTTCTTGGTTGAATGTGCCCCGACGGCTATGAAAGAAAAGGCACCTGAACACCCGTTCTGGGTTTTGTATGTAGATGGAGCTGCTAATATCGAAGGATCGGGTGCTAGAGCTGTGTTACTGGGCCCTAATGGCTTTAAATCCGAGCATGCGCTGAGGTTTCAGTTCCAAACAACCAATAATGCTGCAGAGTATAAAGCCCTCATTTATAGATTGAAGCTGGCATCCGAGCTATAGGTACAGAACATCCAAGTCTTCAGCTACTCTCAGCTCGTGGTAGGCCAGGTAAAGGGCAGCTGTGAAATTAGGGATCCTCAGCTTGGTCGTTATACTTCTGTGGTCAACAAATTGAAGTCAGGATTTGCCTCCTTCCAGATCGACAAAATACCAAGAGCAGACAACCACCGAGCTGACGAGCTGTCAAAGTTGGCCTCCTCGCGAGACTTTAACCCTCAGAGGTCAACCATCGTTGAAGTGCTGGACGCCCTGAGCTACACTGATCTCACGGTCGAGTGTCAACTGCTAAGCACAGATCCCTCTACATCGAGCTGGACTACCCCACTTATAAATTATCTACAAAGTGGCGAGCTGTCTGAAGATCTATCCGCCGCGAAATTGATTAAACGAAGGGCAGCACATTTCACCTTGTTAGATAACCAGATCTACAAGCGAGCAGCCTCAATGCCCCTATTACGCTGCCTTACTCCTTACGAAACTGAATATGTGGTGAGAAAAGTTCACGAAGGAGTATGTGGCACGCACATCGGTGGCAAAACTTTAGCTCAGAAACTCCTGAGGCATGGGTATTACTGGCCCACTATGGTCGAGGACGCACAGAGTTATGTCAGAAAATGTCTGACCTGCCAGTTCAATGCTGATGATATACACATGCCAGGTATCTGAGCCTATTCTAAAGAACATGCAAACTCCGTGTTCATCTATAAACTAAGCATAAGTATCTTCCTTGAAACAGGGGAAATGCTATCATCTCTCACGTCTCCCTGGCCCTTTGCTCAATGGGGTGTCGACCTGCTCGGCCCTTTTATCAAAGGCAAAGGAGGCTGCACTTTCCTGGTCGTTGCAGTGGATTACTTCACTAAGTGGATAGAAGCTAAATCGCTGTCCACGACAACAGAAAGGAAAATAGAAGAATTCTTGTTCAATTCAATATTGTGCAGGTATTCTTCGGTGACTGAGGTCATAAAATATATGCAAACGTGATTTGTAGCTCAGCTCGCTCATCTGTGTGCAGGTTCGGCATCCCTAAGCAGATTATCGCCGACAATGGGCCACAGTTTCGAGCAGCGGTGTTGAGATCGTTTTGTAACGATTATGGCATTGAGCTCGCCTTGACATCCGTGTATACTCCACAGTCTAACGGGCAAGCCGAGTCCGCCAATAAAATCGTCTTGCGAGGCCTCAAGACACGTGTTTTGGTTGCACATTCCAATTGGGTTGACGAGCACAATAAAGTGCTCTGGTCTTGTCGTACTACACCCAGCTCGGCCACGGGCGAAACCCCTTTCAGCTTGGCCTATGGAGCTGAGGCCGTCATCCCAGTAGAGGTGGGACTGCCATCTGATTGAGCAGGCTGGCATGACGATCTCAACAATAAGCAACTGTTGAGAGAAAACCTAGACTTCATGGAAGAGGTCAGGGAGATGTCTAGAATAAGAAACATGGCGCACCAAACTCGTGTTGCAAAATTTTACAATAAAAGAGTTCGAGCTCGCCAGTTTCAAGTCGGCGATCTGGTTCTACGCAAAGCTGGATTGACGAATGCTCACTCGCACATGGGCAAGCTCGCGCCTAATTGGGAAGGACCTTATATGGTTATTTCTATTCAACGACCTGGGTCTTACCGGTTAGCAGATTTGCAAGGTCGTCCATTACCATTCATTTGGAACATACATAACCTTAGAAAGTTTTACAGTTAAGAGTTAGCTTTACAGTTAATGTGTATGTTATTAGCATTCAGGCCGTCATGGATCAGTTGTAAATGGCATTTCATAGAGAAATCAAAACACAGAAAGTTCAAAAAAGGAAATTCAATTTGTATTTCATCAATGACCATTTACAGTTGAAGTACATGACATATAATGTCATTGATCAATACAAGTAATCAAAAGAAAATACAAAGGAACAAAAGAAAAAAGTCTTAAGCCTAGTCATTCGTTAAATCGACGGGCATGGATGCGTCAGCTATAGGCGGAGATGAGCGATTTGGTGGCGAGCGAGCAGCGACCTCTGAAGCTGGTGCCATAACGGGAGATCGAGTTGGCACCACGGCGGGCTGAGAGTCTGGTGGAGTGCTAGATGGCTCCTGCTCAGCAACAGGAGCCCCTTCCACCCATCCGTCAAAGGAAGGCAGCCCCACTGGGTCCTCCCCTTCTTTTAAAACTGAGGGAGGCCAGACAGGAACTCCCTCCTCGTTGAGATCCCATCTCAACCGCACCGTTGTGTCAGCCAGGGGAGCAAGGCTCTTACCCTGCTCGTCAATATCTTCCCCATCGAAGAACGCCAGCTTGTGGATGGGGAAGTCAGGGCGGTGGTGCAACACCTTACCATGGATCTCGTTGTAGATCTCCGTGGTCATGTTAGCAGACGCCACCGCCACTGCGTCTTGGAACGTGGACGAGCCGACCAGCCATTCTGCTCTTTGGGCTCGGGCAGTACCGACGGAGCGCACATGAGATGCCTTCAATTCGTTCAGCGCCTCTTTGGTAGCGCTGAGGTTCTTGTCAGCCTCAGCGACCTGGAACTTTAGGGAACCCAGCTTGTTCTGAGCACGGTCCCTTTCATCCTAAGCCCTCTTAGCTCGCTCTTCAACCCGAGCGGCCTCATCCTTCGCCGCTTGAATCCCACTTTCTCTCTCAGCACGGGCTCGCTCTAGCTCCTCCTTAAGCTCATTGATCCTATTTGCGAGCTCTTCAGCTCGACTCTCCGCTGCAGCTGCTCGGTTGGCCATTTCAGAGCCTTGTAGACGGTTGACGTCGTCCACGAGGCTAGCCTTCTCTGCAGCCAGCTGTTTGCAGTTCGTGCTGAGCTCGCTGTTTTATGTACGAGCCCCCTGCTCGCTCTCGAACAGCGCTACTGCGTAGCTGAACGCCTGCCAAACAGCGGTTACTGTTAGTCTCTAAAAAGGAAAAGCAAAACATTCAAGCAGGTACGAGCAGATACTTACATCCATCAGTTTTATCATGGCGACCTGGCTGCCATGCTGCTGCACAAAAGCTTTTGCCCGCTTACTATCGGCAGGGGGCACAAAGCTGTGCATGCCTTGCACCATGGCGGGCTGGCACTCCGCCCGCACATAGCTAAAGCCCTCAGGATAAGCAATCCTGGGGCCCAACATCGAAGCCGATGCAGAGGTGAGCTCTATTGCTGCCCGCGCAGTCGCTGATGGTGCGTTGGGTGAACGCACGGTTGCAGGACGAGCCGCCTGCGCGGGCTGAGTCCCCCCGCTTGTTTTGCGCCGAGCGAGGGAAACCTCATCCTCTTCGCTCTCCGTCTCCTCACGTGCACGCCTACGTGCACTGGGAGCTGCGTGATTGAGGCTATGCTCAGTCCGCGGCCTAGATGCCAAGATGGATCCTCGATGGGACGAGCTGCGTGATTGAGGCGCTGCAGGCGACCGCTCGTCGAACACCGTCTGTCTCTGTGTGGTGCTGCCCGGCCCACGATCGCGTGAGCTCTGTGCTCGTAGGCATTGGCATTCGAGAATGCTGCTCATTTCTCCTGAACAAAAAAATGCATAAGACTCAGCCCGACTAGAATTCATACCATATGAGAAAAATATACCTTCTGTGAACAGGTTTGCCACGTCGACAAACCCGAACACGGCGAGCAGCTCCAGGGTAACAGGGCCTCTAGATCTACTAAATTTTCACATCTCGTGTGCTCTAACAGCCGGTTCTTGAGGTCCGTGTCCCGTGGCAGTAGCTGGGGATAATTCACGTGTGCATTTGGCGTACGCCAGTCTGACAGCCGGGCAGCGAGGTCATTGCTTACCCTCTATGTTCGCGTGTCGCGAATGAAAATGAACTGCCTTTTCCACCGCGCCACTTTATTCCTTACATTTTTGAAGAGCTGGCTCTTGTCCTTCCTAAAGAGGTAGTACCACTTCGCTCCTTTTGCGTTCGGACACAACCGACACTAGAACAGCGACCTGAACACTATCGCCTTGGCCGGTACCTCCAATCTCGCACACAACAGCATAAAGCCCACAATGAAACTTATGCTGTTGGGCGTCAGCTGCGTCAAAGCCAGCTCGTAGTCTGCCAGCAGGTCGAATACCAGCCCGGGCAGGGGAAATCGCAGACCAGCGTCAAAATGATCTGCATACAAGGGTATCCAGCCCGCCTGCGACACCGAGCAAGCCCTCTCGTTCTGCCCGCCAGTTCGCAGCAATATTGTCCTGGGGATTTGGTACTCCCTTACCATCTCCTCCAGCCTCTTGTACCCACTTATTGATGGCGCACTATCCGCTACTTCGTGATGAAGCGCCGCCCTGAATCTAAATCCGGCAGGCAAATCCTTAGGAGCCTTGCGTATGTTACTCAGTCTGCCCGGGAGTACCTTACTCTCCCATTCTCCAGTCGCAGGCAGACCCTGTTTGTTACCACCTACGTTCTCTTGCTCTTCCTCATGATTTGACGAATCCCCAAAAGGCGAGCTGCTGGACGGTGAAGCGTGGTGGCCGTCATCATTGTCTCCGACGCTTGAACTGGTGCTACTCTCCGGCGTCATTGTCTCCGGCAAATCCTGTAGACACGGTGGTACTATCATCACGATAGGTTCCGCGGCAATCACCCCCTCTTCTTCCTCCCTACCCTGGTTACCCCATAGCTCTCTCAATTCTCTAAAGAAATCCATTTTTACCTTTTGAATGATGGTAGATGCTGTGCAAAGTGATGACCTTATGCTCTGTTCTTCAAAACCCAAACGTTGTGCTGCAGAGAAACTCGTTGAACTTACACAAGCAATGAAATGAAAATGGAAAAGGGAACGATTACGATAGAAACAAAACCAAAATGGCCCTATTAAACGTCGTACGCGTGTCTCTGACGCGACAATAGGCGTCTCACACGTGGTAGGCGTTTAACCGCCTTTTGCACAACGTGCGCCACCTCTGGCTGTCACGTTCCTCAAACGCTGTGCCAGCATTTATGACGGGGAAGACAGAGGGATACAGGGAGATCAACCGTATCTCCTCAGAGATCTCAGAGATCTGATGGATTTTCAAAATCCACAAGATTCAGATCGTAACAGCGAAGTGTACCCTATCCCGTCACATCAGCTCGCCACTACGAGAACACTTACCAGGTCGTCACAAACGTGACGTATTTGCAAGGTCGGCTTAACCGTGACAATTCGTTCACAATTGTAGATTGTTTACTAAAATTCCCCAAGATTCAGCTCGTCACAGATCGTGGCGACAACCACTTTTATCAGGTCGTTACACGAGTTGTAACTCACGACGGGTCACAGACCTTTTTACAGACCAATGGGTACCTTAGGTCGCCCTATCTAGCAACACTACCCATGCGAGCTGCTAAAGTAATAGTCAAAAATCTTAGGTAGCACTGCGGGTGAGGCCGCGTTTCCTCAGCTCGCTATCATGGCTGACTGAGCATCCTCTGCTCGCACTCCGGTAGTACTCAGGGGTCAGGTCGCCACAAGCCCACACTAGTGCGGCTAAGGATATCAACTCGCCTCCACGCTTTCCGGCTCGCGAGCTCGCCTCTTTTTGTATTACCTTTCAGCTCGGCCATCGCCGAGGTCGATAGTAAGCTGTTAAAGCTGTCCGTCATAGTCACCAGCTAGAACGTTGACCCACGGCCACATCCATCGCAGTTCGTCAACCGAACACCGAGGGGGGAGTAATGTTGGAATAGGCCCAACACCCAAACAAGGCTGTGCATAACGGGCCTAGGTTACCACCAATTAGCCCAAGCTGAAGGAGCATCAGTACAAGCATACCCACGTGACCAGCGCTGTCACGCCCCAAACCAAGAGCGAAACAGACGCCGTGCACTCGTGAGCGGGGCCCACAAATGCACAAGGCTCGAGACCTATTGAGTTCTTACTTAGCAATTCAGGTAATTCAAATCTAAGCCTTTTACTTTACCAAATAGTTACCAGTGAATGTACAAAATTATCACTTTATATATACAATCATGACTAACACTAAATCCTGTACACAAAATTTTCTATGTCAAGCATGGTGACTAACGGCTTAGCTACAAAAACCTAAGTCCAAAAGTGCCTAGCCGTCTAGCTCGTCACTCTCCCGGGCTTCCCACGCGTCGGGTCTCACTACCTGAAATGGTGGACAAGGAAATCGTGAGATAAAAATATCTCAGTAAGTAAACATGGGGGCCCGACATCAAGTATAAAGCATGCCAAATAATCGGTTAAAACATGAACAAACGTTTCAATAACAAATC